CAGTCCTAAGCGTGGGAAAGTCTGAGTATTTGCTGAAAAGGCCAACCACGTCATGCTTTGCAGCTGCAATTCAAATAGATCCTATTGAATTAAATGATAGCGACTACCTTTCTGCTACAAATAGCGGTATCGCAAGAACACAGAAGGACACTGTGAAACATCTTTCTTCTCTGCACAAAAGTCTCTTAAAGAGGGAGAGCAGACGTGGAAGGACAGTAGTATTTTAACTTTTGCATAGTACAACAATGCAGGGAAAAAAATCTTTAGGATGCATACTGATCGTTGGGGATATGCTTGCTCAGTGTAACAGCATTTTCATGAGAAGCTGGTGAGTCTAGCTCTATTATGTGAAGCAAGGAATGTCCTAGCCCAGGTGCATTTGTATTGACTGGCTGAACAGCTGCATTAACCCTGACTTGATGTGCTAAGTAAAGGTAATTTGATCTCTGCCATTTTGCCAGGGATCCTGTTACCCAGTCATTTTTCTTTGAAGTATCTTGAAGAGCAAGGAAAACAGACTGCACCATTGCTTGAACCCCCTCAAGCTTAGTTACAGCTGCCAAGGAAGTTCCTGAGGTGCCTGTTTTCACCCAACTTTGTATTTTTTTTAATCATTTGGCACTGTGGGGCTCTGTAAAATAATTAACAAACTCAGCAGTATCTCTTGTTCAAGCAGCTGTCCCTTTTGTGTGCATGTATGTGATGTGTCCACTGAGAACAAGTCCACACCAAAGAGTTTAGTACGTGCTGCCAGTACCAGTGTTGCCAGGATGGATCCTCAGAAATGGATGTGGGAATCTCTTATTTTATTATTTTCCGATTTAGCATAAACAAAATTGCATTTCCAGAACCACGGACAAAGAGGGAGATAAGAATGGCTAGTAAGCAAACTGATACTGAACTGAGCTTGTAGAAAATAGTCAGAATTTTAACTGACAGTTACAAGACAGCTACTTGAAACTGAGGCTCAGGTAGTAGACAGTGGTTTTGCACAAGAGATGTGAATGAATTCGTCATCTAGAAAATGGTTTGGAAATACAAGTTATTTAGTGTATTCTGGTCCAGTTTAAACATCATGTTTTGTGAGACAGCATAGCACTACCCAGAGAAGGAATGAACTCTGAGGCAGAGAAACTGTGCCCAACCGATTTGGTAGTAAAATTTTCTTCCGTTTAGCACATCATTGATACAAATCTCTGCTCCGTTCTTCCTGGTACTGAGACTCCATATGCACATCAAGCGGTTAGCATGGTTATATGCTGCATATGCAGATGTCATTGACCCAAATAACATAAGGTACTTAGTGTCAAATAGGTATATAGGTAAAACAATTATTGTCAACACCCCAAATTCCCAGTCTTATTTAAGCTGTTGGCATTGGTTTGTACCACTACAGCAAAAATAGGTAGGTTTAGAATTCAGACAAGCGTTGTAAGAGTAACTTATAGATAAACAATTGGTTTATACACAGTTTATACTACAGGGCAAAATTCAGTCTTGAATAAACTGGTCAGTCTCCACTGAAGGGAATACAGCTTCCCCTGGTAATATTAAGGATCAGTTTGACCCATCTATCTTGATTTAACCACAACTGAAGATAATTAAGATGATGTGAGAAAATATGATGAAAAATAAACAAACATAAGGCTTTTGTTTCCTTTGAAGCATGATTTCTGTTGTCTTCAGTAGAGAGTGGTTTGGTACCAGCTGGATTTGTCTTTGAAAGTATTTCTAAGGATGAAGGCCCTGCTCCTGGTAACCATTACATCTAGGGTGACCACCTCTCCCTAACTGGGTGGGACAGTCCCAAAATGGGAACATCGGGTCCGGGTCCTGGGCTGCATGACTCTGGGACATCATTTGTCCCAGGATTTGGGTTTTCCATTCATCACAGAAAAACATAGGAAACAGCAGGTTTCCCCTTGCAAGATGGCAGAGTTCCAGCCTGCAAGAAGCTGCAGGGGGCATGGGGTGCCATGTGCAGGACGCAGGGGCACCACCCAGGCAGCAGTGAAGATCAGCTCCCCTAGCTGCCTGCAGGTAATGGGGCGGGGGGGAAGATTGATGCCCCCACAGTGAGGGATGGAGTGGGACAGCAGCAGGAGCTGGTCCTGGGGGCACTGCCCAGGCAGGGCAGTGCATGGGGTCTAGGGCTGGGGTGGGGAGTGGGGCAGAGCCATAGGTGGCTTATCCAGGGTTTGGGGGAGAGAGGGCCAGTTCCCTGCTGCTGTGTGCACTCCCAGGTAGGCGGACATGGGGGGCATGTGCCCCCCAAAGTTATGTGTAGGGCAGGGGCAGATGCAGGCTGACTGCTGCAGGTCTGGGGCTCCCTGCTCTGCTGCCTTTCCTCCAAGAGCCTCGCACTGGCTGTGCAGCCGTGGCGAAGTGACCCCTGCCCACCCAGCAGCAGCAGCAGTGGCGGTGTGGAGTTGTGCCCCTTGCTGTTGCTGGGCAGGTAGGGGGTGCCTCACCATAGCAGTATGGCCAGTGCAGGGCTTCCGGGGCAGGGGGTAGAAGCAGGGCAGGAAGCCCTAATCCCACAGCTGGCAGCCTGTATCGGCCTCCACCCGCCCATGGGTTCTGCTTGGCTTTGCTCTGGCCTTGCCACTGGAGGATGGGGGGGATGGCGGGCATGTGTCCGGCCTTTCCATTTTGAAAAGGTGGTCACCCTACTTATGCCTGAGAGTAACTTCCAACCTTTGACCAATTCCAGTGAGTTCATGTGAACTCTTCATATGATGAAAGTTGCTCAAGCAAAATCTTTGCAAAGTCTAACGCTCTGAAAAATTAAGAGAAGCTTTTTCTTGGTTTGGCTTTTATCCTTGACCACATCAAATGAAACATTTTTACTGTGCTGGGATTGTGAATTTGCATTGAAAACCCACAGCTCTTACAAGCAGTGCATTAATTATTTTATTAATTTGCTTTTTTTTATTTTATTTTATTTTTTACATTATGGGAAACATTCATCTATTTACATTTTTCTGTCCACACACAAACTAGATAGATAATCCTATGAACCCAATTCATAAAGCCATAAAAATGTGCTCTACCCCTCCGTCTAAAGGCTTTCAAATTTGTACCTTATTTCCCTTCCCCCCCACCCCAACCAAAAACATTTTAAAAATCTCATTTGGGAATATAGGTAGGCCGGTGATGTACATTCCAGTTATTTAAAATGTGTTTAAACTTTTTTTTTAAAGAAACTGTCAAGTCACAAAGATAAACTGTAAATTAAAGTGATAGTGCACACCAAAACATTAAGGGAAACACCAATAAATAAACGGAGATATATTACAAATAAATTATTTCTATTTACCTTTTCAATTATTAAAAATCTTTAATCCATTTCTTCATCTTTCTTTACAAAAAGATTATGAGAATTTTATGGAAACATCTGCAAAAAATATAATAAATACTTTTCTTTTAACTTTTGAAGCCGGAAACAAAAACAACTTTTTTTTTGTCAATTTTCCCAAAGAGGGAAAAAGCAACGGTTTTTGTACCAAAGATCAACAGAAAATAATACTTTTTTAGATTACATTGGGCAGATTAGGTCAAGAACAAATAGTTACAAATTACACTAAAATAAATTATAGAAAAAGTATATTCATAGTGGTAAGTAAGGAGTCAAGTGGTTAACCAGTGGCAGTCTGGGGGTGGAAGTATAGTCATATATTAACCAGTTTCAAGGCTGAACATACTCTTCAGTGCTGGAAAGCTAGGAAAATGTTATAATGCCCTGTCCACAGTCAATATGAACTAACAGGCATTTCACTAAGAATAGTTTCATTTAAAATACTTACAAAAAATATCCTATGTTATACAAATACAATGATTTATCATGTGCAAGACTAAGAAGCCTTCAGTTTTCTGCCTTTTTTTATTTTTGTTTTTTTGGAACTAACTACAGCATAATCTTTAAATAAATTTCTCTTGCCACTTGTCAACCAAAGTCTTAACTCTTCTTTCATAAATCAACCAAAACATATATGTGACTGTGGACCCTCACTGGGATGCTGCTTTGTATCTCTTAATACAAATGAGTTCCAAATAATATTTAATTCTTAACATGATTACATGGTCAAAAGTGGCAGTTGGCACCATATGCTCTGCAAACACTGATCTTTCTCTGCTGCTAAAAGTTAAATGAAGTGTGTTCTTTCAAAACTATCAAATACACTGGTATTCAAATGCTTCTAGGGTCAAACCTTTTAAAGCCCCCTTCACATGAAGCATTCTTGGGTTACATTGGATTTCTGATTATTCTAGTTAAAAGTCTTTTAAATATTAAATGATTAGCCCTTATTTTATAAACCACAGCAGTAAATATTTGTGCCCTGTTTATAAAGACATAGCTCAGATATCAATGGCTTTGAGAGGTAGCAATTCTAAAGTGGTTTTAGAATGTTTTCATGAAAACAAATTTGGTGCTAGAACCTATTACCTCTCCTAATTTCTTGAATAAAATTAAACTAGCACTTGCCATGATGTTATATTCAAAGCTGTCTGGCGTGATCTTTGATGTACGAATTGGAAACAGCTTAACTTTTTGATGGTATCTTTTAAATGTGAGCTACACAGTTATGTTGACTGTGCAGTGGGATTGTCACAGTTGGAATGTTCAAACTGTTTAAAGAAGTAGGGCATTTAAGACCAACTCTGGTGTGGTACAAAGTACATGTCATCCCTCAATCAGTGGACTTTTCCACCAGACCATTTCTAGTTTCCTTCCTTATGTACACGTGTCTCATAGTAAGGGCCACGTTCTGCCCATGCTACGTGGGTGCCCCAGTGGAAGAAGAGATTGTAAGAGGAACTGGCAAGGGAGGATTCATCCCTCATCCTGCAGACAACACTTATGTAGGGAAAATGCTGTTACCATCTGACACACGTCAGTCCCCAGAGCACATGGTGTGCTAACTATAGGGCATGGCCAGATTGCTGCAGCCAACTAATGTTGCCTTCTAGTGCATGTGCCAAGCAAGGAGCCGCATTGCTTTTTTTTTCTTCCAGTGCTATGCCTGAGACATCTTGCCCTATAATGGCACAATGGCTATTGTCACTTATACATGGCAGGCACCTCCTAGCAGCATGGGCAAGATTTTACCCTAAGTATTAAATGAACTGCTGAAAACTTGGGAATGTATAGTAGTTATGATTTCAAAATGACAGGAAAAGCTAGTGTAGGAAGTTAGCCTTTTAGCCCTGTAGTGAAAAAACATAGGCTTGTTATGGTCCCACAACTTGAGAAAAATCCTTGCTTTTAAAAAACTGGGTAGTATTAAGAGACTGAAGTAGAAACTTACTCCTAGGTATGAACTGTTTGATGGTAAGTAGTCTAACCTGTAGCGTACAACCAGCTGCATATAAAACAAACAAAACTTTTGCTTTGAAAAGTATCATGGGTTCCATTTACAATGTTTCAGTAACAGGTGTCTGTGTGCGTCTGTGTGAAATTGGATAGTTTCACCAAGATTAAGACGGTAACAAAACCAAGTTTTTTTTTCTTTTTTTAACCAATATAATCCATTCAATGCAATACAATAGGAATTGACAATACGGTACAGGTGTGGGTGTATGTTTAATTTTTAATTCTTGGACCAAAAAAAAATCCTTCATCTTTTTAATGTTATCTTTGACCACTTCTTTTCACCTTTTTATTGCCTTTCAAAATAGATTTATTTCCCTGGAAGATTGAATTTACTATCTTCTGCTGATCAAATGTGTAAGTAGTGATTGAGGAAATAAAAATGAGGCAGTCTGTGCAGCTGTGAGCGTGCAGTTGTGAGTTCAGTTTTCTTTCCATAAGGTCTTTCCTATCCCTACTATCTTACCCCTCCTTCCTTTCACCTCAACACAGCTGTTTCCCCACCCCCTTGTGACCATTACAGGTGAGAAGGTCAGGTGAGAAACTGTGATATGGAGGTTCAGAATAAAGTGCGCCATCTGCTTTAAAAAATAATACTAATAAAAAGAAGGGAATCTAAGTCATAGCTCCATTCCATCTTTTATGAGGAAGACGGCAGAGTCCAAAAGGATCACTCTGCATTACTGGATTTCCAAAATACCCTATAGTTTTATATTGCTGTACACTAGGTAACAGACTAGCTTTAGATAAACTAAAGATCATGAATGAGTTAAATGGAACATCTACTGTACAGTTATGTGTATGTGTGTGAATGTGGTGTTTTATTTTATTAAACAGAAAAAAGTATTGTACCTTTTACGTGAGGCAAGATGGTAGCGTCAGTACATGTGACCAAGCATTATGATGATATGGGCAAACCTTTAAAAAGCAAGGGTTATTAGAGGACATCTCTTGAAAGATTGACAACTACACCACAAAAGTGGAATTCATTGGGATTGTGTACAGAGGAGTGTGGGGGAGGGGGGGAAGAGAGAGAGAGGGAAATACAAATACTTAATGGTGGCTTTGAGCAGGGACCTAGAGGGGCAGATTATACAGGAGACTTGTCTTGCCAGTGAGAGTCCTCCTGGTAGGATCCCTTCATAGCCTGGTCTGGGCTTCGGGGATGTAAATCTCAATGCTTTCGGCGCTCTCAGTGGCCGAGTTCTGACGGACAGATGCAGCTCGCTTGGCAGCCATCAGCCGTTTCCGGGCCTCTTGACGCTGTGAGCTCTCCAGAGAGCGTTCCCGTATAAGTGGCACCTGGCCTTTCGTTGGCTTCTTTGGCACTGGAGGAGGGACCCTTCTCTCCTGATCAAAGCAGAAGGTTAATGACATTATACAAATTCTCAGGGAAAGATTGGAAAAACTAGGATATGTCAGTAGTTAGAACACACATTTTACCTAAAGTTTGTTAGTTCTTATCTGCATTTTTTTTCTTCATTGAACTGGCTTTTGTATTCAAAGGTTCATAAAAATAATGTAAGCTTAAAGAAAAAGATAGTATTGACAGCAGTGCTAGTTCTCCTCAGGTACGATGCTTATTAAACGCCTGGCGCCGAAAGGGCTGAAGTTCCCATAGCTAACGACTTAATGTGGTTCCCATTTGGGAAGCCAGAGTCCTCCTCCTGGTGCCAGGGATTAGAAAGGAAAGCATCTTAAACAGAACTTTTTACCACTATTTAAGCTAATACAGTTTCAAAATCCTCATGTATAAATTTCACTATATAATTGAAATTTTCAACTCCTATAAGACTCTTAGGATTCATTAATAAAAATTAACTTACTGTAGCAGCAGTTGGCGTTATAGAACTGAAATACACAAATGACCTTGTCCTTTACATACAGTACACACATAGCACTAGATGGGCTTACAACACTGAGACTTCATGGATATAGTTCACAATGTAAATGTAATGTAAACTACCCGCCTGGAGTTAGTGTACCAGAGTAAGAATAAAAAAATTGCATTTAGCGATGGTTGATCTTGATAATATCTCACAGAATCCACATTTGGTGTCTCAGTATAAAAATTCTTTAGATTTAGCAGTGTGCTGGGTGGGCATAAGGAGCAACAATCAGCTACAAACTGAAAAAAATATTTAAAAATCATTGAGAGAACACACACTAATCATCACTTTGGCAGCCAAAGATGCATGTTTAACAAGGAGAATGTGTGTGTGTAAAAATACACAAAGTGGTATCTTGCGGGGTGGGGGAGTGAATTAGTTCTGAATTTCAGGCAGCCACAAGTCTCTGTCAAGTTAGTTAGACTGTCTTTTAAGTTACCTCTCTTCCAACTGTGAGCACGGCTTCTGAGACAAGGGATTTTATTACGCTACAAAGGTTACATTCTAGTCTTTAGTTTTGTCTCATGTTGGTCACAACAGCTTCCATTGCATGAAATATAAAGGTGCCTCATTACACTTATGTATAGTTTCCCTCTTTTTCCAAAGATTAAACCATATTGTTTAAAGAAGTCTCCAAGGTTAAAGATGGAGGCAAATGCAAAAGTGATTCCATATGAAGTTTCTTTTTCTTTCTTTTGTAAGAATTAATGTCCCCATCATTTTTCCCTGCGGCCAGCAGTCCAATGAGCTGTCTGACCGTGATTAAAGGCTACTCCGATAACAAACTCATGACATGTGCTTTGTGTGTTTGTACTTATGACCATGAAGTTGTGCAGGCCACAGCACTCCAGTCTTAAAAGGCTTACAGGCTGCACAACCTCCTCAACAGTTTAGTTTAAAATCCCAGACAAATGTTTATTTAAATGAGGAACAAAGTCAATCTAATTCTTTAAAACACCTAAGCTGTGCTTTCCTACTATAGGTTGCACGATGCGTATGATCCTTTTTCAATACTGCTTAACTTATTTTAATCCTGTTACAGTCATTCTTTTGTTGGGAATGCTTTGAAATGTTCTCAGATGCAAATAAGAGGGATGTTTTTTGGTGAGCTTTCTTTTCTTTGTAGTGGAAAGTGAAAACACTTTTCCTAAGGTTTTATTCTAGAAGCTAATGAAAGTGTGCCTTAGCATGTGTGTGTTCAGCTTTTGAGCCATTGTTTTTTTCAATTAATGCCAGGACAAATGATTACCTGATTTTTGTGTTTTGGCCAAAAAACCACATCTCTGCAATCAGCCCGTCAAAAAAAAAATTCCCTGCTTTGTACACAAGTGGCATTCTCCTGATGGTTTGTGATTTAACCTGGAACCTGCCATTCCCAATTTGGGAATAACAGAGGTGAATTTTTTCTTTTTGTTTGCAAAACACATGTCAGCATTGTGGGTTTTTTTCAAACCTTCCTTCTGGAAGATTTGTAGGATGTGTTTTCTTGTGTACAATACACCCCCTCTCCCCCTGTCCCCCCACCAAGAAACAGCTGCTGGAAACTGGAGTGTGCATTATATGCAACAAATATATGGTAAGAACAGTTTCTGCTGTTTTCCAAGCAAAAGGAAAAATCATCTGCATTAATCCACAGGGAGCAGAATGATGAACAGGCTTGGCTTTCTAGCTGCTGCTATGTAGTTACTTACTACAAGGAATGATTCTCCCCCCACCCCCCTTTATTCTGCCTTTCAAAAGCAAGGTGCACCTCTTATTCGGGGGTGTAATTTATGTGAGGAAATATGGTTTTTATCCAGGACAAAATGCTGCTTTAGCAACAAGATGGATCGCAGCTTGGGTTAAGCTGGAAGACCATGTACGTGCCTGAGCCACCATATATTAACAGATCAAGGTGCGATTCTTGTCCCACCCTCCATTCTGTTGTTTGTTGTATCCCTATCTAGATGTCATATTTATCAGGCAGAGACTATTCTTGCTTGTAATGAGGCTAATGGAAACACAGCCATTAGTTTGAAAGATCCTCCAGATTTGGACCTGTCTTTTTAAGCGTTTACTGTAAAGCATGTAGCATACACCCTTGGGCACTATAAAACAATAAATGCTGATAATGGCAGTTTTTCAGTTCTGCATTGTGTTCACCCAAGGTGCAGTTTGTCCAGCTGATCTGCTGTCCTGAGGCAGATGGTAAGGAGAAAAAATACATACATGGTGCCATACCAGAATGAAAAGAGGAATACAGTTCACATTTGGAAACTAGTTTTTTCTTATGGGAACAACAAAAGACTACATTTAAAAAAAATTAAAAAGTTACCAGTGCTGCAGATGAGTTTGATTATCATGGGTAAATGACCCTGCCAGCATAGTGAACCCAAGAACAAGACTTCCCATTAAAAAAAATCAAAAAGAAAACAAACAAACAAAAAATGACATGTAATTTCTAAGAAGTGTTTTTCAGGTCTGTAAAACAGCAGCTTCTTGCTGCATTTATGAGCTGGTTACCCAGGTTAGTGATGATTACAATACTTCCCTACTCCTCAGTCACACAGCCTAGAGTGTGCAATTAAACTGAACTCTTGGTCTATCCAGTAATATGCACCGTATGTGATTTATTTAAATTTTGAGAATCAATATATAAGGCAGTTCCTTCCAACGACTGATCATCTAATATGATTAAATGTAAAGTTTAACAAAGTACCACATTCCCATTATCTGATTCACAAAGACAGATTTGGTTAAAAAATATGCCTGAAACATATTACAGATAATATCCCAGATGATTATTATGTAAACATTGTTATTACAATGAAATTTATCTGATATGAGCTTCATTTCACATTTTAACATCAGTGCTGTACGCAGAGGCCTATTTAATTTGTCCAGTATTTGTGCAGGGTTTTAAATGAAGCATACAAAATCTACATTGTTCTACCTTCTTGTCATGAGGATCCATCTGTTTCCAATTATTGGCCTTTAACTGATGAAGTTCATCAAATTTCATACTAATATTTTCTATGGACAACTGCAGCATATCCCAAAACCCTGCTAAATCCTGGGAGGTCGGCCTTGGATGTGCATTAGGATTCTGTACAACACAAGAAAAAAGAATTTTGGCTTCAGTACCGATTAATGTAAAGCATTTGTACAAACAGCTACAAAACTCAGCAGCATAGAAATTTAATCAGACTTCTCTGATCTAGTAGATGCGTAAGGAAAGTTAACACAACATTATTTATCAGGTTTTTACTTGTAAAGAATCGGGGCCAAATTCTGGTATGTATAGGGACTTCAAGGCAAAAGCTTTACTTCTGACTATATGCCAAAATGCAGAGAAAGTTTGCCTTGCTGTTGGCCCTCTGTAAAAAGAGCTATGTAGGAGTATTCTTGGGCACGATCACTCTGGTATGCTTGGGTGAAACCTTGACCCCGCTGAAGTAAATGGCAAAACTCCGTTTAACTGCATGGATGCCAGGATATTACCTGACGTTACTGCATGTGCATCTATTCATTTAGCAATGCATTCATTAACTTTTCTATGCACTTTGATAAAAACTGTGGAAAGGCTACAAAAAAATAGTCTACCATGTGTCCTTGGCAGATTATTGGCAAGAAGAATCTTTGAAGAGTGAAAATGTGGGAGGAAAGGATGCGTGTTAATTCTGCTTTTTGCAGTGTATCCTTTGAGAGAGAATAATAGGCTAAACCAGAATGTAGCCCCTGAAATTCTGCATATGCCATTGGCTTGCAAGTTTTTTTTTACCTTAATGCTGAGCACTGCTCTGGTGGAATGCATTTCAGGGATAACTTCCCATGGGATAAGCAATTTTTATTTGAAATTTAGTTTCTAATTGAAATGAGCTGTTGGGCACCTGCTTTTTCAGAAGCACTGAACACCCGCAGTTCCAGTAGGAATCAGTAGGATTTGTGAATGCTCAGTGCCTCTTAAAAGCAGTTCCATAAAGTCTTTGTATAATTTACTCCCACAGTTCTGTGCAGTAGTTGGCTTGGTTGAGGTTATGGTTTTATTTTTACATCCTTGTAAAGTCTTTTTTTTCCCCTCTCATTAGCAAAAGTAAACCCTGGAGAGCTAGGTATGAAGCTGTTTCCCTCAACAACTGTCTTTTGACATGTATTTCACAGCATCACTGGCAAGTGATTTTTAAAAGGATGTGTATACCACCAAAGCAGTGACTGTAGGAAAAACAAACCAACCAAAAATGACTTTCTTACATAGAAAGGGTATCAACTGTAATTGATTATATAATTATTAGATTAGCAAAATGCTTTTTCATTCTTCACAGCAACGTAGAATTTTTTTTCCTATTGCATTTTGAAACAGATGGATTGTCTACATTATGGATGGCTCACACTGCTACAGCAGCATAGCTATAGGGGCAGAGCCCCCTAGTGGAGATACAGGGTGTGCTTTTCTTCAACAGAAGAAACACTTTTCTGTTGGTATGGCATACCTTCCCCAAGAAGACATCAGCTAAATTGGCAGGAGCCCTCTTCTGTTGGCAGAGCTGTGTTCAGTCTAGGGGTCTTGCCAGCATAGCTAGGAGGTAGGCTCTTTTCACAGCCCTTAGCCATGAGGCTAGGACCTGATTTTGTGATGTGCCGAACACTTCCATCTCTCTTTAACAAGAGTGGGACTTGAAAATTTTAGCGTGTTGCTAAAAGATTGCACCTTTGATTACAAACTAGAGTTAAATATGGAGTTTTTACAGGGATATGCTTATTTTTAATGTCTTTTATCCAGCTATTTTTAAACTTCACAGAGACTTTGGCTTTAATGAAAGTGCACATCACATTCAAACTCATTCTATCCCTTAAGGTGAAGTCAGCACTTTAAAAAAGCATTTTCTTAACAACAGAAAATAAAATCCATTCAATTGTAATGTGGTATCATCAGTAATGCCAACTCTCACAACAACAAAAAATCGTGAGACTCCTGATTTCCAAGTTAAATGAACTCTGACTAATGATCTCTGGCTAGAACCCTCAAATCTTGGGATTTTTTCTTTTGGCGCACGTAGAGAGCACTGAGCCAGTAAGTCTGTGGAGGGCAGGGGGAGAGGGAAAGGGCGGGGGTGGGGAGATCAAGGCCCTCACGGTCAGAGAGGGAGTGGGACAGGGGCTGGGGTAAATGGGACCCTGGGGCCAAGGCAGGTCATGCAACAGAGCTATGGATGGGTCATCGAGGGCGGGTGAGGGGGGTGGCTCCCCGCAGTGGCATGCAACCCCAGGGGAGGAATGGGGGGCACGTGTCCTTGGATTTGTGCATGGGGCAGAGGCAGGCTACCCACTACAGGCTGGGGCTCTCTGCCCTGCTGCTTTTGCCCCAGGAGCCACGCATCCCCTGCCCACCCAGCAGGCAGCAATATTGCCACGTAGCTCCCGGGGCAAAGGCAGGAGGGCGCAGAGCCCCAGCCTGCAGTGGGCAGCCTGCCTTTGCCCCGTGCACAAATCTGGGGGGCATGTGCCCCCATGCCTCCCTTGGGGGTGTGCGGCGATGTAGGGAGCTGCGCCTTCCCTCTGCTCCTGGATAAGCGGCGTACAGCTCTGTCGCATGACCCACCCCAGCCCATTTATGTCTCTGTGTCTGTCCCTCATTCCCAAGCCATGGCCTCCCCAGCCCTGCTGCTGCCCCTCACTCCTGACCCACAGTACCCTGCATCTTGCCATGGTGTGCAGGGGCCCCCCACACCTCCACAAATAACCCGACCGCCACACTTCAAAAAGAGCACCTCATGATTTACATGCCAAATCTCTTGATTTTTAAGAGTTTATCTCAATTCTTGATGTGGTGGGGGCTGGCAATACTGGACCACAGTTCCCCTACCTCAGCTTGCCTGGAGGTTTTAATAATACAGTGTTTAAAGCACAGGATGGAAAGTGATGAGTTTTGTGTTCCATTCCCTGTTCTGTTATCCACCTTTCTCTGCTTGTTTCCTCATGAGTAAACTGGAAGTGCTTGTGCTTACCTACTTTTACAAGGTCAATCTTAGTTAAAAGCATGGTCTGAGATACTTGATAAGTGGTGACTAACACAACAAACTATTTTTCCTTTTTGAGGTTTGGAAAAAATGTCTTTTACTTTTCATTTTAACACCGCTTCCTTGTACTAGAAGCAAAAGAGCCAAAATAATACAATAAGTACTACTAGTCTCCTTGCACTTCTGTTCACCAGAAGGCAGGTGGCCCTGGAAATCTCATTTCATGAGATTTTCAGTCCAACTTTGAAGACTCAAGGTTCAGTCAATATGGAAAAGTATCCAAACCATGAGTGTTTATCTGAACAGTCTGCAGCTTTGAAGGTAAAATCCAGGCTCCATTGAAATCAGTGGCAAAACATCCATTGGCTTTCATCCAAAGCCTTTTGAGTCTCTCTCTCTCTCTCTTTTTTTTTTTTCTATCCCAGGCTTCACAAAGTTTCTGCACTGGTATGACTACATTAACTGCAATTGTATTATTCCCAGTTTTCATTGGCAGGAAGCCAAAATCAAGTCCTTCATAAAAACAAGTTGTAGGGAAAAAAAATCTCATCTAATTTAGGATGTAGTAACTCTGAGTCAGTTCCCTAGCAGTGATAGATGCACAGTCATAACTATAATGCATGCTACGTACCAGGTTTTCTTCACACAGTTCTCTGAACTGGTAAAATTTCTGGGCCATGAGAAGTTGGGCACTGCCCACTGCAGTTCGAATCTTCCCTAGAACTGAAAGGAAAGCAAATGTTGGTCAGCCACTGTGTTAGACTCCCCTTTACTGCAGAGATTGAAACATATAAGTGAATGAAAAAGCTATGTAGTAGTTGGCATTATGTTTTTTTTAAAGAGTGTTATCATTGATCTGCATTATAGATAACATTACAGCACTACTGCAAACCCTCCTAGTGTGTACATATACAACTTTTATAGGCTAAACCACAGTTTTGCTGGTATAGCTTGTACTAGTTTCCCCAAATGAAATAAATCAGAATTGGGAAATATGCTGGTGTAACTGCAATCATACTAAGGGGTTTGCTCGTAGAGAAATGTTGCAGAAAATTGCATCTCTAGGCAACAGGCAATAGAGGTAAAACTTCTTATGGTAGACTGGCCTACTTGCAGAATAGCAAAGAGCTTGCAGAAACTGGTACAAACTTGCAGTATTTGGGATACCCTACTTTTGCCAATACCTCTGCTATTTCACTTAGAAATATAAGGCTCAATTCTAGGGACTGGCCAAGTGCTGCTAGGTTATGCTGGTCCCCAAAAGAGGGAGTAGGGTTTTAGGTCAGAGCCCAAAGTCAACCCAGAAACTTTTTTTTCAGCCACCAGCACAACTTGAAGAAGCCTCAGGATTGCTTTTAGTTGTATCCAGGTGCCATAGACATTTGAGCAGCTGATAATGACCCAGCCAGGTCCTAAAGGAAGGTATCAAGGAGCCTCTGTATTAGTTCTTTACCCCTTGGAGACTCAGGCCCACTGAGAGAGTCTTCATCTGGCCAGCTAAGCTAAGCTTCCGTGGACCATCAGAACAGTATATAATGATCTGTGCAGCACATCAGAGATCTTGGCCCATAGCATATGGTTCTATAACAAGTTGGCTGAACTTGAATTTATATTGTTACCGCTTGGGCTGTGAAACAGCTGAGGAATCTGTTAAGCATAAGTCACCATCTAAAACAAAGGCAGTCTGCTCTGGAATTGGAAGTAGCTGGGTAACCGAGGCTTTGAGGAATATTGTTTATTTGGGAAGGGGGGGGAGGTGTACATATTGGAAAGGGAAGAGAGAAGAAACACACAGAAACAAAGCTGAAACTTAAATTAACACCAAAAATGCGATCTTCAGGAGAGGGAAAGGGAAGGAAAGAAAAGAGAGAGGGGCAGACTTTGGGGAATGATGATTTAAAGAGATTTGGTGCTGTGACCAACAAAAAAAAAATCTGTCTCTGGTTTATCTTATTCCTTTTGTGCTCAGAAAAATTAGATTGTGTGCATTCTTGCATGTAAGTGCCTGTTTGTAAACTAACAAGATTATCTTCATCACCAATTTTCCCTTCTAACTGGAATCAGCTACTAAACCCTGATTTTTTTGGGTAGTATCTCAAGCCAAAAAATATTATTATCACTTCACTACCGAAAGACACATACACAATTTGTTCTGCTTTAATTTTCACTATTATTACCCCTAATTATCTGTATTTCTGTAACACAGAAACCCCAGATAAAAACTAGGTCTAAATCTAAATAGGTGAGATGGACACATGAAGGAGGGGAAACAGAGGCACAGAACAATGTGACACTTCACAGCAGACCACTGGCACAATCTGGAATAGATCCCAGGTCTTCTGTGCCATGTTTGTGGACCATGCTGCCTCTCTCCTCCACTCTAACACAATGTTAGGAGACTTCTTTGGGGGAAAATACCGTGAACATATTTGACTTGTAAAACAAACCAAGAACTCTGGTGACCCAGCAGGGCCCATATTATCCATTTGCTACCAGAGTGCTGCCACAAAATTAACTATTTGCCAATTTTTTTTCTGGATAGTCAAGAACACTTACATAAATGGACCAAGCAGGTATAAAGGTATCATTAGATGCTGAAGTGTGCTTAACTGAAAGCACGGATACAATCACAGACCCATATTTTGCTTTCTAATTTGTATTGCTATGCTTATGAGCCTTATGGTTGCAAAGTTGCATGTAGAGTAGGAAGGAGGAATAAAAAGCTGGTATGGAAAAGAGTCGTATACACCCTCTCTTCACCCCAAGCCTTTTACTTTGTTCCCATAGCTTAGATGACCACTACCAAGAAATAGCTGTGAACTGGAAGATTCACTAAGTGGGATATTTTCAACACATTGCGCAGGGAATTCTACACACCAGTCTCATTATTGTTAGTAAGACTTGCGTGTCTAATTCCCTGCGCACAGTGCTGAAAATGGACCCCTTGGTGTGTCTAGTCATTTATGCAACCCAATGTGCAAACCACTCAACTGAAAGGAGGCTTCAATAGTAGGGAGGAGGTACTCCGAGAGCTTTCATGTGGTTTCCATTGTTATGAAAACTCTTCCCACTGAGTATACTTCAGCACAGCTGCCTCATCTGGAGCGTGGCCATCTGACACTTCACAACAGATCCCAAGAGTAGAGATGGGGAGAGAATGGGCTCTAAACTTTTTATTAAAAATGAAGAAAGTGTTGTTTGTAGGATGGACAGTGACTGTGGGAAATCATGTTGGGAGCGTGTTCGCAAATGAAGTAATAATAACTTTTGCCATGAGGGTAGGGAATCATTCCTCTTTCTTTTGTTTTCAAGCTATAAAAGTTTTTAATATTCCAAAATTATCATGAAGTAGAATTAGGGAAGAAAGGAAGGCCTGGCTGCCTAGCGACTGGCTGTTTCTCTGAAAATCACCATCCCAGCTGACTGTGAGGTGCATGCTGATGCTGTTCTCCATTGTTACTGTTTCTGTTATAGCTGCTGATGTATCTAGTCAAGTGTTGCTGATTTCTTGCCCCTCAAAACAAGCAGTCTATTAATGTTCTACCAGCCAGCACAAGCAACCCTGTCGCCGAAGATTTTTTTTAAAGCTGTTGACAAAGAACATGAAAGACTGAAAGGACTCTTCCCAGAAAGCAAAGTCTTTCCTGTTCTGCCTCAACAAAATATGTTGCTTTTAATTTTGAAGGCAGAATGCTCTTCTCTCTAATTCAGTCAAAACTTCTGCCTGAAAGAAAGGACCTAAGAAACAGTAAAACAAAACAAAACAAAACACACACAAAAAAAACAATGTGCTGCTAGACTCTTTCTCTGGTTAAAATCCTGAGAGGCTCTACACTTGCAAAAAACCCGTAACAGTTTGGGGCCAAACACAGGAAAGTGAAAATATGAGAGTCAAAATATGTTAATCGGAGATAGACAAAGCCCTTTGCACTAGGGGAGGGGGATCCAGAAGACAAAAATACTTAAACCGACACCTTCAATTCATAGAACATTGACATTTACGAAGCAAATGGCAAACGACTAGAATCCAACATGCAGTCATAACAGTTGGAAACGGGTATAGAAGTTGACTCATGTTACCTACTAATCTGTACAGTTTCTCATACTACCCTCATTACTGTCAGACGTGAATGACTTTACAGAAGTGTATTAAGTAATGTGACTAACTTGTGTCACGTGTTGCCTTCATACCTCCCTCTGGGGGAAAGTGTGTGTAGTGAGGTATCTTGTTTCAGAAGGGTGGTGATACTGGTAGTTGTCATCTGTTTTGCTGTGACCCACTTTTCCTTCTAAATCTACTTCCTGAACTGGTCTACTGGGAGGGGGGGAATCTATTGTCATAGCTGTTTGTGAATAACTCTTCTGCTATAGCTATTTTGCAATAATTACTTATTCTAAAATAACTCCACCATGTGGGCATTATTTCAAAATGTGAAACTCTTACTGTTGTGTTTTTTATTATTGTTCCAGAGTAACATCCATGTGGGACATTTATTTTGTATCAGTTATACCAATCAATCTCCTTGTGGAGAGAAGCCTTTAAGTTACTGATTTTTCTCATCATTTGTATGCCTAAGCTTAATTGTAGGTCCTTTGGGCAGGGACTATCAATTCTATTAAGTCTATTAAGTCTATACATTGATCAGTTCCTCTCTTTGGAATGATATATAAATAAATGCAAGGGTAAAGAAGTAAAGGCAAAAAACCTAAAGAGAATAACACAGAAAAGAATGACTCAGTCACTGGGACCGAGACTAACAACTTCAACACAAATGTCAGAAGCATCTTGTGCATATGAAGTGATCCTGCCATAGGAGTTGTCACAATCTATTTCTAAAGTAGGATGGACCAATATTCTAGCCTATTTATGTTGACAGGCCAGCATTTAAATAACTCAAGGCATGACAAAAGGCAGGAAATACCCCTAGGTCAGCTATTAAGGAGAATAAAGGCTCAATAGAGCAAGTTAAGACGACCTGATTCTACAGTCCTTGCTTTGAATAACATTTAATTATAGAAATAATCTTGATGAAGTTATTGGGTCTGTGTTGATAGGTGACTACTACTTAATTTAAGTAAGGGCTGCAGAATCAATCCCTAAATGTATATCTGTTTTTTAATAGTACAATTGACATTTCCTAACTATAGTATCTTGTAGCTTGTAGATTTTTTTTTTTTTTGCTATTGTATGTCATTCTTCAAATACTGGTGGAGAGAATATATGGGACCTGTGTTTTCTGAGACTTTGAAAAACAGACTGAATGCATAAGGCGCTGGTCAGGGGAGAATATTTATCAGAAACCAGAGAAAACAGAAGTACGGGAGGATAGTGGGAGTAAAATTAGTCAGAACTTTGACTACTTCTAGTTTCCATTTCTCATATCTAGCCAGTTAAGATAAGAGAAGTCTTTTTACCTTTGCCCAAACTTTTGCTCTTGTTCCTAGGCTGCATTGCTTATATTTTACTTTAAAAAGTAACTTTTCATGAAAATGTGTAAACCGAACATAACTGCAAGCAGAGACTCTTGACTTAAATAACAGGGGTAGTGAAGATTTGAGGTCACCCTTTGTATATGCACAAGCCCAGAGGGATAAAGTATTCAGGCTAAGTGATCAGGATGATGGTGGCCATTTGTCTTCTGACCTCCTTTGTTTTCTATTGCAGTTTTAACTATTTGGGTTCTGACTCATTTCTCCATTTACATCTACCAATGCACTTGCATAATACCCATGACCTGTGGTGAATCAGAACTATTTGCAGTTTTTTTAGGATGAATGAAATCCAGTTGAAATATTGAAGCTGTACATGAATATGGAATGTAGACCATGGATTGTAAGAATACTACTTTTTGCTATACCTCAGCTGGCTACAAATGTACCCTGAGATCATATTTTGCTGATTTAATGCCAATATGAGGAAAGGATTTTAGGATAGTCAGAGTTTGTTATGGATAGGATTCCTTAATGGCTTTCAGTGTAATATCTTGCTTTGGGGGCCGGGGAGAGGGGGAGAATAGCAAGCATGTAATAGATAAATCCAAACTATTCTGAAATCAACTGACAAAAACCTAGTAACTTCAATAAAAGTTGGATCAAGTCCTTAATTGCATACTTAAGCTTGCATCTTTAACTCTTTCTTTTCATAAAGAGAAAGCACAAGAATTCCTAGAAACAATACTTGGGCATACACACAAAAATAAACTATAGTGGAGGCATATTGGGTGTCATGGCTTAAAAGAATGAGTATACAATAGAAAAGGGGTATCAGTCTGCTTACTACACATGCTACAGTTTTATCAGACTATGTTGTCAAGTAAAACCAGTATATTCATACAATTATTTCTCAAGATGAGAGAGGACCAAAGACATTTCTCTGTATATCTGTATTTCCCCCTGGAACAGCTGAACCTTAACCTGTTTTTATACACAGCAATAGACTGCATTCCTAGCAAGAAACATTCAGTTCCATCTGGTAGATTCATTCCTAGTTAGATAATACCGAACATATCTATGTAACATACGAGCTACTGTCAAATAGCAGTGAGCCGTCTCCCCAAGACAGCTGTTTCACACAAGGGCTGCATTGTCTGGAAGAAGCTTGTATCGTTTTACTTCAAGTGCTGAGGGAACAAGCATTCTGTCAGCTGTCATGGCATTGAGGAAAATTTGCTCATTGCAGATTGTCATTATTTTGTTATCAGGTCAAACATGCACTGTGCACTGTCAGAGTTGAAGGCTAAAAACAAAAGATGCATTCCTTATTCTGCTTATGGTTTATCAGTTAAAAAAAAAAAAGTCCGCCGTCTCTGCTGAGTTTATAGAAGACATGATTTGGTTCTGAGTTTACAACAACAAGCTTTTGTTCCCAACATTAGAGAGCTGGCTACTGTGACTTTCACCATATGCTTTTATTTGGCAGCAGGTAGAATAGGAAACTGCTGTCCAGCAGTGGAATGTCAAACAATGTCCTCAGGAAACAGCTGTCACATTCAAGAATCTCGGATGACATCACAAAGCAACCGATAACTCACTAAGGGCTGTTAAGGTCGACCCCTTTCCTCCTCCTGCTGCCACCAAGCACAGTATAAAAAAAAAAAAAAAAAAAAAAAAAAAA